ATTCCAAGTCGTCCTGGAAGCCCAGGTCTTGGTAACCACTTCCAGGGACCTTCTGAATCCACCTGGTTCTGTTGTATCGAGCCAAATGTGGGGTATTTCTCCACCCAATCCGCCAAACCGACTGCCCACTATGATCCACAAGCTCGTCCCGTCTGAAGGCTCAACCACCGGCGGAAGTGAGGTAACTCTGCTCGGTAGCGGGTTTTATCCTGGAATGGAAGTTGTATTTGGCGATACGCTGGCGACGACGACAACATTTTGGGGAGATAAGTGTTTGAATTGTCTCACTCCTCCTGCGTTACAACCTGGCACGGTTCCTGTTGTATTCAAACATGAGCACCCGACTTTTGGACAGTTCCAAGCATCTACGCAGCCTATGATTCCAAAGCAACCAATATTTTTCCGCTATGTGGATGATCGAGAACTCCAAATGTACCGCGTCGCACTTGGCATCCTAGGCCAAAAACTGAGAAACCCCGCGGACGCATTTCAGACCGCTCAGCAAATCATGGGCGGAGGATCTAGTAATATGTGGAACTTGCAGGGTAACTTCCAAGGCAATGGGCAGCAAGGTCATGGAAATCAGAATTCACAGGCAAACATAAATGACTTAGATGCGAAGATGCTTGTATATCTCGAATTCATGGATTTGGATGACAGTCCCAGATCACCGCGCTTTAATCGCCGTTCTCCTTCAGGACAAACCCTTCTTCACTACGCTGCTTCGCTTGGATTAATTAGATTCGTCGCTGGACTTCTTGCCAGGGGTGCGAACCCGAATATACAAGACAATAATGGCAACTCGCCGCTTCATCTGGCGGCTTTGAGTGGCCACATTCACATTGTCCATCGCCTACGTTTGGCTGATGCTAACGTGGCTGCTACTAATTTGCGTGACTTTACTCCGGCTGATCTTGCAACCTCATTAGAAACACATCAAGCCGTCCTCGTACCTGCTCGACACTATCGATCGCGCAGTGTTGGTTCAACTCGGTCGTTGCGCCGCCGCCCAAGTTCTGCATCACTTGACATGTCCTGGGAAATTTGGTCCGGCGATTCGGAAAATATTGATGTGGATTCGTCGGATGATTCATCGGATGGAAGTGATGAGTCCGAGGCGACAGGCGAAGCTTCTGATTCTTCTTTCTTCTATCCTGCATCCCGACGAACGAGTATACACCGAGACAGCAACGCTGGCTTCTACTTTTCCCGTCCTCACGAGTCCAGTGCTCAACCTAGTCGTGTACAACCACCAAACGACGGAGAAACTGAGGGTGGAGATGAGAGTAATGTATCTTCTCCTGCAAGGCTCATCGCCTGGCGCAACCAGCTTGCCGCTCAAATCAATCAGTTCCAGCAAAGTGTCAATTGGGCTTTCCCCAACCTTCCAGCTTTGCCTCCAATGCCAACTCTTCCAGATTATCAAACGTACCCTATGATGCGGCGAATTACTTCACTCGTCCCGCAGCGGCCAACCACATCATGGCCCACCA